ATTCAACAATTTTAAGAGCCCCTCAGAACCATAATACAACACGACGTCTGCGTGTATTTCCAAAATCATGAAGCTGAATGAAGACTGCGGGGCTGCTAGTCCACAGACTCCCAAACCGTGAAGTTACACAGTTCTGTGGCTCCTGTAGCTGTCTCGCTTTTATGGCTCTTCTTGCTGCGCGTGGTCCTCATTTTGCATGATCCTCTCCTCAACCAACCTGCCACTCCGGAGGTTGTTTTGTTTGGGCGGAGTGGGAAGCGGACAAAGAGAGAGAGAGAGAGAGAGAGAGAGACAGAGAGACAGAGAGACAGAGAGACAGAGAGACAGAGAGACAGAGAGACAGAGAGACAGAGAGACAGAGAGACAGAGAGACAGAGAGACAGAGAGACAGAGAGACAGAGAGAGAGAGAGAGAGAGACAGAGAGAGAGAGAGAGAGAGAGAGGCTCAGCGCTGAGCCACACGCCATCAAAGGCTTAGGATTTAGGGTTTACTCTGCAGTCACTTAGTCCCCTGATCAAGTTGAACCTTGAACTTCCCTTTCGAGTGAAATCCGAGTTACATGCCGCTCTCAGGTACTTCTGGTAGCAAGGCTTCTGACTCGATCTCAGACTTACATTTCATGGAGGGCCATGCATGGTTCGGGTGTATATAGCGGTTCAGGGGAGAGTTTAAACGTTTCGTCCTGGAGGGTTTTTGCATATCAGGGTTAAGGCGAGGAACGAAACGAGAGGCTACAATTGTTACAGTTTAGGGTTTAGGGTTTGGGGTTTAGGGATTTAAGGTTTTAGCGTTTAAGGCGTACGTGCCAGATTTGACTGCGCGGATGAGTCTTGTAATATTGTGGACGTGAGGTTAGCCTGACGGCAAGGGAGCACATAAAGTCGGCCACACATGGAGAAGTTGTGTTGACTTGCATGAGGTTGCAAGGAGTCTTAGTGGCATAGCCCCCCCATAGTGCAGTTATCGCCACGGTTATCACCTGTCTCCTAGGTTTCCTGATCACTCAAACCCTTGACCCTAAAGCAGTAGAACCCTGAAGCCCTAAAACCCTAAAGTCCTAAACTCTATAAAACCCTAAAACCCTAAACCCCATAACCCTAAAACCCTATAACCCCATAACCCTACAGCCCTACAACTCTAATCTCCAAAACCCTATACCCTTAAAGCCCTAACTATCACCGAGGTTTGGTCTCTCTTTCAGGTAAGAGCCGAAAACCCCAACTCAACACTCCAAGCCTTGGCCTTCGCACCTAAAACCCTAAACCCCTTAACCCTCAACCCTAAACCCCAAAACCCCTTAACCCTAAACCCTACAACTCAACCTGAAAGCGAAACTTGCATATCGCCCGAAGGTTCTACCTAAATTCCCCAAAAGTATATAGGTAGAACAATGGCCCGAGACCTATAAAGGGCCATAATCCTACATATTTTTGGGGTCCAGGTAGTAGTAGGGTCTTGGCTGAACGCGAAAGCTCTCCTTGAGGAGCTCAAGTGGGCCCTGGACCGTGTGGAGTCTCCAAAAATCGGGGACAATAATATAGCACCCCAAAAAGTAGGATCCTTACTATAAGGACCCCAAAATAAGGTACCCCGAATTTTCGGAGACTCCCGACGACAAAGCCCGCAGGAACTCAGATCCTCACAGTCCAGGGCCAAAAGACTCCAAAAGCAATCTTAGTCGTAGTAGTAGTAGTAGTAGTAGCAGCAGTAGTTACATTGAGATTCTTCTTCAATGTGCTTCTCTGTAAATTTGTTTTAGACAGTCAAAAGTCACATTAGGCCTACCGTCTTGGGGCAGTAGCTTGACCTGCTAGAGCCTGCTGCTACAGTAGGGCCTCCGTTAGCATGAAACCCAATGGACATGAGGTCCGGCCTGTTGACCGAAGAGATCTTTCGTCGGCGTGTGGACGTTCTTAACAAGGCATATCCTCACTGAGTTAGCAGTGTCCTGTGCTTTGGGGTTTGCCAGGCGTTCCGAAACCCTAAATCCCGAACTGAAGCTTGGTTTCGCCATTGCTGTCGATGCAAAACCTACAAACCTTGGGCCCTTCATGATCGAAAGGACAGGGTTGGTTCTGCTCTGGTTTTCGATTGCGGACGAATCGTAGCATTGTAAGTTTAGCTTCCGTTCGTGGCATGGCCCATTGCCTCCTCGTACACAAGCAGGAAGAGGTCTGGAAGCCTAAGCCTGAATTAACCTTTAAACTCGCAATTGAACTAAACCCTAGACCCCCAACAGTGGTGACAGGATCTTTGGTCGGCGGCGTTCATATCTCCAGTTCAGTTACCTGCCGTGATGATACAAGGGCCTGAATACTTCGTATCGCAGTACTGGTCTTATATAGGAAACTCCAGAAAGTTGGAATATGGTTTCATGGTAGGATACCCTATAATTTACCATAGAAGGGTTAGGATAATTATATTCCAACTTTCTGGCTTTTACCTTAGGGCTTTGGGTTTATTACGTAACTATGGCTCAAAATCCTTTGAAAGCCCATTGGATTATCTTGCCTCTGATATTTGGCCTGTTCCTTTCTTTTTCCTAAAACCCTATGAGAAGCCTATGCTATAGGGGCCTTAATAATTACCTGTACTAGTTGGGGGTTGCCCTATTATAACTATAGCACAATGGGCCCCGAAAGCATATTCCAATCAATTTTCAAGGCCCCTATATTTGTTCGTCGAAGCAGTAGTCACAAGTTCACAGCTCTTGAGGCAGAAGCGCTGGAACTTCACCTGCTGCCAATTGACGGTTCCCAGAATCGGAACAGGCGCGATGGGACTTTGTTCTGGTTGTGCTGACGTTTTCAAGGGTTTAGGGTCTTAGGGCTCTACCTACACCCCCACAACTACCTTCTAATATACCCCCCCCAATACCCACTATTAAGGGCCCTAAGGGCTCCATTAAAGGGCTACCAGGATGCAGGGCGTATCGGGTTTAGGTGGCCCGAAGGGAAAAGTTAAGAGAATGAAGCTCAGGCCAGGAAGGTGCAGAGTTCCGTGATTTTGCCATTGCAAGTCCCAGACTTCCGCAGTATCCATTGATTCTAAGGAGTATAGACCCTAAATCATAATAGGAAGCAGGTGAGAAGCTTCTGTGTTGCAACCAGGCTCACCTGAAAACCCCTTACCCTAAGGGTCCATGTACCCAAATAGTAAAAACTGTAGGCCCAATGTACCGGTGTAGGGAATACTTTGAGGTCAAAGTACCTATTTGGGTACACGGACCCTCGGGGGTAGTTTCTATATCGGCAACCCAGAGCTTATGCCTGAACCCCTTCGGCACCGAAGGGCTCTCAACTCCTTATCCGCCCTACAGCCATAATGTGGACAAAGTTAAGAGGCGATAGCTAAAAATCCGGAACCCAGAGACCGAAATTTCTATACTGTAGAGCCCTTATCCATCCCTGAACGAACGGGTTTAGGGTTCAAGGTTTGGGGGTTTTAGTGTGTACCCATAGGCTTCGTAGTAGTTCCTTTTGGGGATTACCTGCATATTTAGAATCCTATACGGTAATCCCAAAAAGGAACTACTATGGACCCATATTGACCCAGCCCTCGGAGGTATCTCAGCGACATCTGCATTGGACCAAAGCTTGCTCTTGAGGCCATGCGCAACATCGAGCGGCGCGGGCCTCGCTTGCGGGTGTTGGATGGTTTCTTTCAAGGATGCGTGTACCTAGACACCCAAAAGGTAGAATGATGGCCCAAAACCCAGAAAGGGCCATTATTCTATATACATACTTTGGGGGTCCAAGTAAGACCTCCCATTCATTGCTAGTTCCCGTGGCTGCAGAATTCCAAACAGCACCCATTCTACACGGAAGTGAAATCTCCACTTGCCATTTATGGCTAGTTTTCTTCAGGTCCCCAAAATAGTACGGCACCCTGATACAAGGGACCTTCTTTTAGAGAACTACCCACACATAGTACCCGTATAGAAACCCTTGTAGATCGCTATTGGAGCCCTTAAAAGGGACCCTAATTTAGAGAATTACACCTGCCCAGCTGCAGGATATCAACGACCTCCCACTCCCAGGCTTCTCAAAACGGCACAACCTGTTGTCACTACATTGAACGGTTTAGGGTTTTTAGGGGTTTAGGGACGCTCAAGGTAAGAGCTCTGAATCGCAGAGGATGTGGGCCATCAGTATGGCAGCAGAAACCAAAGATCCTTCCCACCACCGCCGCCACCACCGCGACCATACTTAAGGATCATGGGACTTAGTAACTAACTAAGGTAACTATGTTTAAAATTACGTATAACCCCAACTAGGGTAATTATAACCTTACTTACGAAGTCCCATGATCCTCCAAGTATTCAAGTGTTCATCAGCTACTGCTGCCTCAATGAAATCATCTGGTCATGACGTCGCGATTGCTACTTCACGTTAATCATCACGGCCACCAGCCTCACCGGAAAATACAACAATCCATCCCAGCATTGTGCTGATGCTCTCCTGATCCTCATGATTCCTTCGCCGTCTGCGATAGAACTGCTGTCATCATAATCGCAACAGCATGCTCCTGGTTCTCTGCGGCCTCAGCATGTCGCAACTCCCCTACACAACTGGAGCAACGCCAATTCGGTCGCAGCAGCAGCACATCAGACAGTCAGACATGTTTTCGTGCGATTTCGTCAGTATCATTGTGCAGTTGCTGGATTCTCCCAGGCACAAGTCTTTGGGACTATTTGTGCCTCGCTTCCCGATCGCCAGGCTCCGTGCCTCCAGTGTAGTCATCAGTTTTGATGCCCCTGCAAACCCTCACCGCCATACCTGAAGGGGGGCTCATTGACAGGACAGCTCGGGCAGAGCACATCTTCCACAGCCACAATAACATAAGCATGTCATGTCCTTGCTGAATAGATCAAAGTCGGCCAAGCCTTCGATAGGTTTATATACAGTTCAGGTTTCAGAGTTTAGGGTTTAGGGCTTAGGGCCGTTTAGGGTTTAGGGAGGCGGCGACCATCGGCCAAAAGCAGCCGTTTGTCAGAGCCATGGAGCAGCTCCTGCGAGTGATCGTCTCACAGCGGTTAGAGCTGCAGGCGTCGCTCGGGGTTAAGGGTTTGGGGTCTATAGTATATAAAGTACATATAGTAAATATAGTTAGTATACATAGAGTTTATGCGAATTTTAGGACCTGAAGGTTCATCGATTGAAGGAGTGAAGGGTTGATAATGTATGAATCTGGAGTCGAAGACAACATGCGGCTAATTTTGTGGAATAATAGCAGTCGCAGCATAAGAGTAACAGTGATTTCGCACTAATGCACGCGAATGACGACGACAGCATCAGAGACGGCTACTACCCTGCCCTCAATTAAGTGGCGAGCGACAATTACGGCCACAGCAACAACTGCAATGTCAACCACGGCAGCAACACATCGGCACAGCTTAGTGCTACCAACAACGACGCCGATCACAAGGAACTCACACGGCGCATCGATGTACATCTTTGCCTGTTGCTCGCACCATAGGTAGAGCGACCAAGTCAGCAATCCCGTCATGGTCGTTGCTTTAGCAGCAGCATGCGTCAGGATGGATTCTAGAACTGCTTCACGCCGTATACTCAATTAGTTTGTTGGTTTCTTCCAACTTTCTGAAGGCTGCCTGCAAGAATGTTGCCTATGATTTGCTCCCCCCGCATTATAACGTATAACTACGTGAGGCTGCAAATTCAGGGCTATGGAGCTCCCAGCACTGCCCACTGGCAGTGTTTTGGGACTCAGCGACTCGGTTATGAGTGCGTACGACGTCTAGAGCCCTTAAAGGAGCACTTCTTGCCTCCTTACTCAGTCTCCTGACTCTCCAAGCATCGCAGCCTCCTGGAGCCATCGTGTCTTCTTTGCTTGCTCTTTCCTGCAGCCCTAAAGCCCGGCACTGTTTTTTGGTAGCCTGCTGTAACGTGGAATATTTGCAGCCGCGGCAGGATCTGTTGGCACGGCAGCAGCGAATGTTGGAGATGCTTGCCTGATCAGACGAGTTTAGGAGATTCATGGCAGGAGGGCAGCACAAAGAATAGCACTACTGCAAGCATTGACATCGGAGCTGTGCAGTCCCTGTGGCACGAACGTTTATGACTTGACACCAACTTTCATTCTGAAACCTCAAATCTAACCCCTGCCCTTAACTATCAACTGTGATCCCAAATTCTACTCCTGAGCCTTAATATGGGGGTTTTAATAATTAGAACAGGATTTTGGGGATATATTATACCATAATTACAATTTGGAACCCCCCAAGATAGTGTAGGTAAGGATTGAGGCCCCTATATTAATCTTCAGAAGTAGGGCCTTGGTCACCAACCACGGAACTTACGACGTATTCACGCGATGCGAATGATACTGTAAGTCGCATGGTTCCAACAGGGAGTTTCAGTAAAAAAGGGGACCCTAATGTAGCACCCTAAATAGTAGGATCCTTATGAGGGCCTGAAAAAGGGTACCGTATTCTTCGGAAAGTCCCAAATCTTGGGCAATTGTGCTAGCCGTGTTATGGCATATGCTAGGATCGTAGCATCCTTCGCAGTGTTGCTGATTGGGGAAACCTGAATGTCCGGAGCGCCGCAAGAGACACTTTGTAGTCTGAACTACGGAGCTTGCCTATATAGTCTCCGGTGTAGTACCTGTCATGGGGGGTTTCATTGTAGGACCCTTAGCATATATAGTTTTTTTCAAACTAAGGAACAACGGAAACCGCAGGTAGAACAATGGAAACCGTAGGTAAAGTATGGCAAACGTAAAACCCTATGCCGCAGACTAAGCTTTCTGCTCAAACATGGACTTTGGTTAACTTACAGAAGTTGGGTGGGGTCTAGGCTTTCGTGGTCCGAGAGTAGGCCTTTCAGGGCTCATAGCGATGAAAGTAGCACGTAAAAATCGCCTTCTTTGTCAGGGTAGCCCTACATTAGGAGCCTGCGAATGCGACTTTATACCCGAACTGCCAGCACCTACCACAACGTAGAACCTTCCGCAAGACCAAGCCCTTCATCCTGGACAGTAAACTCAGTAAACTCTATGTGTCATACAGCCAAAAGCTTTCTGACACTCGCAGCAGGTTGACGCTTTCACAAATGGAGGAGTTGAAACAGAAGGATCTCCCTTCGACGCTTGGCGCCTTGGTTGCAGGTTCAAGGGTTCGGGTTTAGGGTTTCAGGCTGGTTTTTTTTGGGCCGACATAGACATAGACCTTTGGAGTATTCCTACGAATGATCTTCCAAACAGGGCTGCAGGTTTAGAGGAATTGATTTAGATGTGTGGAGCCTCTACCTTGAGATCAAGGTTTCCGGGTTTACTTGGAAGATCTTGGGACTTGGCAAGCAAGTAAGGCTAGAAGTACTTTCATTGGAGTTAGAAGCGGCCCTAACTATAGTTACTTTATTGATAGCTCCACCTGGACACCAAAAGTACGTGGAACAATAGCTTTTATAGGTTTTGGGCCATGATTTTACCTACTTTTGGGGGTCTAGGTAGTTACTGAGTTTCATAATCCTCCGAGCGGGCTTCGGGACCAAGGCAAAGGACGTTGGTTTCAAGATAGGTGGGGATACCCAAAGGCTCCTATGTACTGTTATGGGGGATACTTCCCTAAGTCATAATAGTAATTCCTAACATGGAAACTACTATATCGGTACATCGGACCCTTTGGGATAGCAGAGTAAGGTGAGCATGCAAGTGTGCATGTGCACGCTGATACACGTGTGGTGTAGACATGCTTGTATGCATGCATTTATGCATGCATGTAGAAATGTAGGTATGTGGTACGTAAGCATGTAGGTGCTCATGCATATATAGCTATATGTGTGTATATATTTGTATATCTACATATATGTAAACATATATACAAATACACAAACACACACACACAGAGATATGCATACAGATACAGATGTTTGTGTGTGCCAGTTACCCTTTTATACGAACCCTTTGATTCCCGACGCAATCTTGCAACTGGTTGCAACCCCAACGCGAGTAGATCGTCAAAGAATCCACAGCTAGAAGCCTCCGTCCAACCAAGACGACCGAGATTTCAGGCTTACTAAAGGGGCCTTGATAATAACCAGCATTATTCCTAGGGTCTCTATTATGATTATAGCATAATATGCCCCAAAACCCTATTCTAATCATTAAGGCCCATATATATTATACCCCATACAGTAATACTTATAGACCCCTTGAGAAGGAGCCCTTAAAGGACACCCTATTCTAATTATTAAAGCCCGTCATAGAACATCAATTAAAAGTGTATTGTGTCGTCCATGCAAGGTTCTTGTCAAGGAGTTTAGTTCCAGTTACCATAATAGGGATCTATAGAATATAGTATGGTTTCCTCATAATGGTAACTTAAACAAGACTCAAGAACCCAGCCTTCTTCTGCAATTCAGAACCCGCCGGTGGCAGCTTCAGAACGTAGGGTTCAGAAAGCTTTCTGAGAGACTCGGTCCGGATGGGGTTTAGGGTTTAGTCCGGAGGGCTCAGGTTGTTGGGCTTAGTTAAGCTGTTGCAGCAGGTCTGCTGAGCATGAGCGCCAGCAACTCGCCCGACACTTCCATGTCGCGCTCCTTGGTCTGCCCGGCCATGTTGAACGCTTGTTTGTGGGGACGCGCATGCGGGCATTTGTTTCATTTAACTGTGCCTGCATGCATGATAGTGCACATAGAAACCAAAGGGCAGTTCGAATGGCAGTGGCGACCGGTATCTCAACCTGGTGGCATCACGGGTTGAATGCGAACGCAACCAGTTTGATATGTATCAGTAGCAGTTGCAAGAGTAACCGGGTATGGTGTGTGATGATAGCCAATGCTGAAAACATGGCCTGTTCCACCTGCCATCAGTGAGTATCCGCTACAGACCCCTCACATGTATGAGATTTTTAGTTTTGCAGACTTGCATTTTGACATGTCCAGCCTTCCAGACGTCCAAGGTTTTGAGATCCCCAAGGGTCCAAATACCCATACACTAGGTATTGATTTGGGAGAATGTTAACTCTCCTTGATTGTCTAATATAGAGCCCGAATTATGAATATTCTTGGGGCCTGTTGAAATCGACACCTAGTATAGCATATGCGCGCGCCTTGAAAGTACCTAAATGAGGACTGCACTAAGCGCCAGAGTCTACACTGCATGAGTACATGGGCCCTTGGGGGATGCACAGTTTCCCAAGTCCCATGGGACAGCGCAGAGCTTCGATAAACTCTACGCCCTGAGCCTAAACCCTTACCCTCTAAACCTCTAAACCCCTAAACCCTGAACCCTTGAACCCCTGAACCCCTACCTACCACACCCTTAAACCCCTAATTAAACCCTAAACAACCCTAAACCCTAAACAACCCCTAAACATCCCTAAACCCCAACAACCCTAACCCCCTAAACCCCTAAGCAACCCTAAACCGTAAACAAGCCCTAAACATCCCTAAGCCCTTCTGCAGCCTCAGAGACCGGTCTTGGGGGAATGAGAAAGCAGGGTCTACCTAAACCCCCAGAAGTAGAGTTTAGGGTTTAGGGTTTGGGTGTTTGGGTCTACTAAACCCCCAGAATCAGAAGTAGAGTTTAGGGTTTAGGGTTTAAAGTTTGGGGTCTACTAAATTCCAGAAGTAGAGCTTAGGGTTTGGGGTTTGGAGGTTTGGGTCTACCTAAACCCCCCAAATAGAGTTTAGGGCTTAGGGTTTTGGGGTTTGGGTCTACCTAAACCTTTAAAAGCAAGGTTTAGGGTGAGGGGTTTGGGTCTACCTAAACCCCTAAAAGTAGGATTTAGGGTTTGGGGCTTTGGGTCTACCTAAACCCCCCAAAGTAGCCAACACAATGACCCAACTTCTATGAAGGGCCATTATTCTACACACTCCAGGTAGGGTTCAGATGTAATATTGGTGTAGACGTGGTTATAGATATAGAAACACATACTAACGACACTCACACACGTGTGTATGTACAGATGAATACATGTGTATGTACATGTGTATGCATGTGTACACACACACACAGACGCGTCTTCTGTTTCGCTTCCCCTGCATTTGCTAGCATAGCGTTGTGTCTGACCACAGGCATGCGAGTATGCTTCTGCGTTTCTGCGCGCATGTAAGAAGCATGTTTAGCCACATAGCCTCAGCTGCATGCACATGTGTACCGGCAGTACAGATTCACAGGCACATGCATAGATACATAGACATATTGCACATCTGTGCATGGTTGCTGATTTGTGTCTGTGTTTGCACCCGCGCTTGAGTCAGATGATCCTGTTCTCATTGTCCAGATCTGTCCGTCGAACTGCCCACTTGCTGGTGCAGAAGTACTGCCAACCTATACTCCCCAAAGTGGGAAAAATAATGGCCCAACACCTATGAAAGGCCAAAAATTTACATACGTTTGGGGTCCAGGAATACATGTATGTGCATGTGCATGTTCACGCGAATGCAGCACCTTGCCAGATCTAAACCTACATCTTCTCCATGCGTGCAGGATGGCCTTCCGCTGGCGCTTCCAACCTTACCAAACACCGAAGGACATCAACAGCTCCGCAATTTGGCTCATTAGGACGGACTTAGGTACGAGGGTTCCGGATTTCGCATGTAGTGTCCAAGATTTGGGTATTGTTGGCGAGGGGTTGCGGGCACAGGACATTACAGTTCAAGGTGGAGAGGTCCGGCTGCCCCACGTGTTTCTCAGAGAATGTTTTAGAGATTTTAGTCGACCCCACTGACACGGAGAAAGGCGGCTTTCGGATCCTATGGATGTTGGTCTGCATGTGCGACTGGCACCAGGGTCCCCGCTCCACGAAGACAGAACCTACCCCATTGAGCGCCCAGCCCGCATCCTTCACCGTATGCCTTTATAGAGCGTATTCCTTAAGCACGATGAGCGTGTATACATGTATGGATATCTTGAATTTGTCTTTGTTCGTTCAGACTTCCATATATGACCATTGTCGATCCCTTGTGGTCGCTATTAGTTGTGGTGGCCTTAGCTAGCCTGAACCAGCCCGGTATAAGGCAATGTGACACCGACAATGCAGCCCGCTGCCGTGGATGAGACAGCCGATGTACCTCCGGACTGCTCCGTCAAAAACCATTTCGGGATGTATGCGTGCTTTCGTTCTTCGTGTTTCAGGTTTAGAGGCCGTGGTGTGAAAGGCAATTTGAGGTAGAAGCGCCGTGACGAATTGTCAATAGTGTCTTGTTGTTGCCGGATATTTGTTTGTGCAGCCTTGAGGCATGCACCTAGACCCAGAAACCTAAAAGTTCAAGCCGTAACAACTCCCTTCTAAACTTTTCCAGCCCCAGAAACCTCAAATTTTGAAGAACTCCCGCCGAAACCTGAACCTACACCCCGAGTGCTCGAATTGAAAGCTTTTTCGTGGTTTGGGCTTTAGGGACTCGGTGTTCAGGGCTTGGGCTTACCTAGACCCCAACTACCCTGTAACAAGCCCCAAATACTATACCCACTGTTAAAGGGCCTTTTGGGGGTCCTGGTAGGGTTCACCATGTTCCTGGCGTAGGCGCAGTACTATTCCTGAGGACTCCTCGCTGCTATCATACTTTCCGAATCCTGGGTTTGGAGTACCATACTTGAATACTTTTTGGCACCTGTTCCTTAAAGGAACCATAATGAAATGAAAGTCTATACTTTTTTCTCCCTGGTTACTTCAAAGTCCAGGAATCACGTGCCCAAAAACCCTGTTCTAGAGTTTTGTTACAGCAAGGCCCCTATGTTACCGGGTAAATCTGAGATTCGGCTCATGGGTTCGTTTTCTGTATCTTGACACAGCCGTCGTAAGAGTCACACTGCTACAGTAGAAGCCCAAAAGTTGGAAACCCAATAGCCTCTATCCTTAAGAGTAATGCATAGGGAATCCCAGCACTGTTTGGCCTTAATCCGGTTTCCAACTTTATGGGGTTTACTGTAGGTGGTGCAGGATCCCAGCCCCGAAGCCATAAGCCACAAATCTGAATCCTGAACCTTTCTCCGATCAATTCGGAATGCAGTGGGTCTCAGTACTGAGTGGTTTCGGGAATGTGCAATGTTGCTGGCTTCGTGCTTTTCCTGCGATACGAGACGGCGAGAGAGTGCCTCCCCCGAGTTTCACTGCTTTTGCTTTCCTGGACGCCAAGCCGCTCACCAAATTGCCAAACCTGTTGATCCACTTATGACCTTGGCTGGCGTCTTCACTTACATGCTAATGTTTAGGCAGGGTCTTGCATGTGAAGTGGTGTGGTGCAATATCATATGATATGGTTACAGGCTCGAACTGCAAACTACACGCCGCTTCTCACCCGAACCTCATCGAAGTTTGAGCCCCAACTCCTGAACCTCAGCGCCAAGCGCGACATACATACCAAGATCGGTGCAACAAGGAACACTACACAGCCAGAGGTGTTTTAGGGTTCAGGTAGACCCTGCGCCCGCTCTAAACTCTGAGACCCTGAACCCGAAACCCTAAGGCCCTAAGACCTAAGACCCTACTTAGCGGATCATGGGACTAAGTAACTAGGGTTACAAATAAGATAACTATAGTTATTATAGTACTTATACCTCCAATTACGGTACTTCTAACCCTACTTACTAAGTTTCGTGAATCCGCCAAGAAAGACTCTACCTAAACCCTAAACCCCTAGACCCCTAAACCTCTAAACCCTAAGCCCTAAACACCTGAACCCTAAACCCTGAACCCCGAAACCCTACATCCTAAACTCCTAAGCCATAATAACCCTAACCCGTGCGCAGGATCCCAGTGGGAGCGTTAGAAGAAAGATGAAGACTAGCCGACAGGTCGGCTGGGTCGGTAGTTGGCTTCGGGGTTTAGGGTTTAGGATCTATGGTGGAAGCCGGAAAGTTGGAAAGTGTGTTGCGGCGCGCTTGGACTTGAAACCCAATCTTCCAACTTTCCGTTCTGGGCAGTCAGGCACCCCGCATGGTCTCCAAACGGGGGAGGCCTGTTAGTGCGATCTTCCAACTTTATTTTGCTTGGCAGGCACTGCACTTCTTGCCTGGCAGCACCCTGCAACCCCGCGTCCCGGGAAGGGCAACCCCGCATCCCCGGATCCGCCGTTTGACTGGGTCGGTCGAGTTTCTGCCAGTACTGGGGGGAAAGTACTTTCACGGTGCGTCCTGGAGGCGCCAGTACTGGGCGGAAAGCGAAAACCCTGACACTTTCACGGCGCGTCCTGGAGACGCCAGTATTTGGGGGAAAGCAATTCCACCGTACCCTCGATTGTTTCTGAATCCCGGCTTTCCTTGAAGCAAAGCTTTCCGCCGCTGGACTGGATCTGTTCAATTTCTGTTTTACTCGGTGGAAAAAACTTTGATGGTGCGACTTGGAGACGCCAGTACTTGGGGGAAAGCGATCATTCCAGCCAGTACTCAGGTGAAAAAACTCACGGTGTCCTGGAGACGCCAGTAGTTGGGGGAAAGCGATTCCACCGTGCCGTCGATTGTATGATACTGTATGTGAATACCGGCAGTACTTGGGCCCAAGGCGGGCGTAGTTCTGAATGCGGCGGTACAGTGGGTGTGGTTCCCGTAGTTGGGGAAAGTAATTCCGCCGTGCCCTGGACTGTTTCTGAATCCTGCCAGTAGTTGGGGTAGAGCATTTTGGCCGTGGCTCTGCATGTGACAGCAGTGGGAGGAAGGCATGTTGTGCATGCCCGTGAATCCCGCCGAAACCAAAGTTGGAAGACATGAAACTTGGAAGAGTTGAAATATGGACGGCCAAACTTGAAGTTGGAACATGCTTTACGCCATGCGCCAATCTCGGTAAACCATCTTCCAACTTTCCCGCTTTGACTGTAAGGCTGTAAGGGCTTAGGGTTGTTTGCTGATGGGGTTTAATTAGCTTGTTGTTTGTGTTGACGCTGTTGGGCTTGCGTGCCTGCTTGATTTGGTGTTTGCCAGTCTGCTTTGCACTTCGCCTGTGCATGTGTTCCTGCAGAGTGTGCGGGTGTGTTGTGTGTCTGCCTGCTGCGGTGCTTATAATATGTTGTTGCTTGAGGCTCCACACTGTTCTGCCGGGTAAAGTCATCAAACCTGAGCCTCTAAACCCCTAGACCCTAAACCCTAAACTGCAGAGGCATGCCGCCTACGCATATTATTGCTAGCACTACTACTGTTAATATGCTAGTCGATCAATGCTACTTGGGTTGTCGGGGGTCTGGAGTTCAGGGATTTAGGGTGCATAAAGGGGTTCGGGTTTAGGCCGGGCGTCGGGCTTTCCGTTTAGGGTTCGACTGTTCTGAAGATGATGATTCATTTGGACAGGAAAGGCAACAGCATAGAAATTAACAGGGCTAGTGGTGCCCAACGTCGAGGCTCGCGTGACTTTGTCAAGGACGAGCTTCTTCCATGACCAAGCCAATCTGGGCAGCAATCTGGACTATTTCAGTGGGTCCCGAGAAGGTGTGCGGTCACCTTCCCCAGCACCAAGCACGTGGGCGACATGTGGCACCAAAGGAGAAACGTGATTGGAAGCCATCGCAAAACACATGCCTTAAAGCGCCTTTGCCAGGAGGGCTTTCGCAGACAAGCCGCACTTCCGTCCAAGCGTTCAAAGCCAAGCCAAAAGCGTGCAAAGTCGAAGGCTCCGCTTTAAACTTTAAAAGGCTCTAAAACCTAAACCCCTTAAACTTCGGGTTTCAATTGGGGACCCAAATCATCTGAATTAACCAGATATCCTTCGGCGCCTACGTAATACCGCAATTTATGCATGTTACAAAATGAAGCACTCACATTCCCAAACCAGGATCAGTTTTCTAGTCCGAATCAGCCCTTACTGAAACCTACACCCTCAACCCTGAAGCTGCGAACCCCCAAGCCCTACATATGAGTAGTTCTCTAAATTAGGGTCCATTTTTAGGTACCCCAAAATAGTACGGCACGTAAAAAAGCGAGCTTAAAAGGGAAATCGTTTAGAGAACTACCCATGTATTCGTTAGGGCTTGAGGCGGTTTGGGGGCTTGGAGGTGTTACCGCAGGGTTTTGGGATCTCACGATCCAGACCGCAGGGATGAAAAGGGTTTGGTGTTGTAGCTTTAGGCTGCATGAGCCTGAATCCAACAGGGCCCCAGACCCGAAACCCAGAAACCCGCTTGCTAGCAGTATCAGTTAATGATATCCCATTCAAGTCCATGCAAAAATATGCTGTAAACTGTAATATGCAGCCCCTAAACCCTAGTCCGTAAACTCCAAAATCTAAACTCCAAACCCGTATTAACCCAAAACCCCGATTTACGAAGGCCCACGTCAGACCGAATACCCGAGCTAAAAGGCAGCCTTGCAACGTGAAGCCTGTACTTGCTCTGGAGTTTGGGTTTAATTACGGTTTTAGGGTTTACGGGTTTAGGGTTTTGGGGTTTAGGGGCTGTTCGTTGATTTCATGGAAAATGGGTTTCAGACGCAGAGTTTAGGATTTAATTCAGTGTCCTTGTCCTTTGTCCTTTTCCTTTTAGTGTTAACCCGGGGAGCTACTGAGCTGCAGTAGCAGTGAACACTGGAAACTACGTACAGCTGCCTCTGCATGCGAAGTCTGTCAGGGCAGCAAAGCGAGCAAGATTTCGTGGGATGCCAAGGCTGCAGCGCTCGCCAGGGCAGTAGACTTGTGCAAGGGTTAGGGTTTAGGGTTCGGTGCTTTGGGGTGAGTGTTCAGGCTTTGAGGATTTACACCTCTGCGATGCTTCACGGTACCTTCTCAAATCAACCTGGCGCACAGTACAGTCTACATAACTACTACAATCCCGGCCCTCAAGAATCCCGGCTTTGAGGGTTTCATGCGTATTTGGGGGCTCAAAGCTTATGAGAGCTTTGTCGTTAGCACTGATCTCATCACAGAGGCGCGGATCCCGCCGTCCGAAAAGTCTAGCGTCCTGAAGGTATGTATATATGCTTCGTAAGCGGTCCATTGGGTATCGTTCATCGAGTGTTCCGACGCACCTCATGTAAGATCATGTATGAAGTTGGGTCGCCATCTCGGCTGCGACCCGACGCTGCCCTCAACTCACGTCTGGAATGATATTCATACCAGCAGACCGGATTGCTCGTAAAACCACGTCATAGAAAGCAACGGAAAAGTGGTGATGGCTAGGATGAGAAAACTGAGACAGTTCCAAGTGAGGTACTTACACCTCCTACTCATGAATCAGCAGTTAGCAAGCACTCTGATCCTTAAGAACTTGCTGATCCCTTACGTGAAAGAGTCGAACAGCCAGTCATTTGAAGCCCTACACTCCAAGCCGACGCAGCTTACATGCCGAGCGAGCCATTAAAAGCAATAACCAATGGCAGCAGTAGTGACATAGTAACATCGTAATTTCAATGAGGACCATTATCATCATCACATCATCATCACCATCACCAACAACGCCATCATCATCACCATCCTCACCATCACATCACCATCACGATCATTATCATCATGATCGTCATAAGCATATAACTGCGTGCCCGCGTAAGGTTCTACTATAGGGGCACAAGCAACTGCCTATATATATATATATATATACATACATATATATATATATAGTATTTGGGGGTTCCTTATGACCTCAAAACCCTATTGTAATTATGAAGGCCCCTATACTAAAAAGAAAAAAAGGCGGAGGCAGAAGTGGGGTCCGCCCCTAGCACCTTGGTCCTGGACATGCCTGCGATCCTCCAGGACGAGACGATAAGTTGGGGGTTTAGGGTTTGGGGTTTAGGGTTTAGGGTCTTGGGATCTAGGGGTTGTGGGTTTAGGGTTTGGGGTTTAGGGTTTAGGGTTTAGGGTCTTGGGATCTAGGGGTTGTGGGTTTAGGGTTTGGGGTTTAGGGTTTAGGGTCTTGGGATCTAGGGGTTGTGGGTCAAGCGTCTAAGTTTGAGGATGTGGGTTCTGCAAGCAACAATGGAACTCACAAGTTTCAAAGTTGAGCCTACCCGTAGGCCCCAAAGTAGTTCCTTTTGGGGGTTCAGATATAGAATTCTATAAGGGAATCCCAAAAAGGAACTACTTTGGGGCCTATGGGTAGAGGATCCTACATACGGGAGTTTCTGAAAATTAGGATACCTTGTTTTAGGGATCCTGATAATCAGCATTCTACTATTCAGGGTAGTATATTGGGGTCCCCTATTGTCGGAAACTCCCATATATAGTTGGTTTAACCCAGTAAAGGAACTACAATGGAGACTGAGGTCTGTGTTTTGTTTGCAGTGTTTTAGGTTTAGTTCAGAGGCGTCGGGTTTGAGTTTAGAGATGTAGAATGGTTTTGGTTGTTGCCACTGCTGTGGCCGGGGTTGCGCAGAAGTCTGCAGGAAATCAGACTGTGGGAGCTAGCACGTCCCGGGACTTGTGAAGCATATCCTATTTGCTCTCGGCTGTGAGCTATTCCCTGCGTGAAAGTCGTTTGCTACGGATCGTATCCCAAATCTTGCTCCCTCGAACCCGACCTTGAATCTTCTGCCTGGCCAGGTGTTGTTCTTAATGTAGGGTGGGTTTTAGGCTTCGGTTTTGCGGTTTACTGTATAGAGTGTTTGACGCGGTTTTGCGACAGCGGTGCACCACAAGCTGTGTTTCGCATCTTGTAGCGTTTTCTAAAAAGATGAGGACCCAGATCCAAGCATCCATGTCTGTATGTTTCTAAGTAGCAATAGTATTCCCTTCTAAGCTAAAGTCACCATGTGCCCATATGGGAGTTTTCGAAACTTCGAGGTACCTCACATTAGGGGCCTCATTTGGGGGTCCTCAAATTAAGGATCCTACTATGCTAGTAGGGTCCCCTGTATTCGGAAACTCCCATATGTTCTCCTAAATCCTAAACCCTGAAACCCTAAATCCCTAAATCCTTAAACCCCTATACCCTAAACCCTAAACCCTAAACCCTAAACTCTGGTCTGATTAAGACCCGCAGGCCTCGTGGGGCCGACCTTGTTCCCCAACTTCGCTATCCTTCCCAGGCTCCAAGCCCTCTAGGCCCTGAGCTTTAAGGGATTAGGGTTCAGGGATTTAGGGATCTAGGCTTTAGGGATTCAGGGATTTAGGGTTTAGGGTTTGGGGCTACCCCCTCTCCAGTTCCCAATCTTTCAAAGTTCTCCATGTCTAAACCCAATGCCGAGCTCCGAAAGCCTAAACTCAGATTAATCCTATGCACCCCGAACCCATGGCCCTGATCCTCCCCTTGACCCTAAACCCTAAACCCGTTCCCTAAGTGCGCATAAGCCTCGCCAGGACCAGAACGCCCCGAACGGAGGCGACTACGGATTGGCGACTTGGTGTACAGGAAGTAGGGTTTTGGGGTTTGGGTTTATGTTTAGTGTTTGGGGTTGAGGAATTACGGGCCTCTACGGTTTTGCATCTTATGGTTGAGAGACTGGGGCTTGGGACTAGGGGATACCCAGACCTTCGTTTGATCGGGTCTTATGGCAGCGCTTTTAGTAAGAGTAGCCACGGCATGTTTCTGTAGATGATGTAATATGTGGGGTGATAGGGCGTATAAGGCATGGCAGGGTTTATAGCTGGCTTCAGTCTAGTCTACTCTTGTCCAGTCTTGTCCCAGTCTAGTACCCGAAAGCCTCAATGGTGTGAGTTGCAGGGTTCAGGCATGATACTGCGTCGTCGTCACCTAGATCCCCCAAAGTAGGTAACATAATGGCCCAAAACCTTTAGAAGGCAGTTTTTCTACATACTTTTGGGGTCCAGGCAATTTGGCTTTTGGTTGCTTTAGCAACACTTAGTGCTTACGCCGTGGTGGTTCACGCTGGTAAGGCTGTCTAATCGGATCTCGAACTAATTTGATGTTGCGGATTGCATTTATCCTTCGGGGGCGGTAGCTTTTGAGCAAGGCTCAAAAACTTTTCAAGTCCATTTTTTGCTTGAAGAGCCCGACACCCCAAGGCACTGTGCGAAGACCTAAAGCCCCAAGCCCTTAGCCCAACACCAAACGAAAAAGACAACATAGAACACGGAGATAACATATGCAGCAAAAGCAACAAGGAGATAAAGTACGCACGAAAATTCCGGCACAAAAGCAAAACGCACACAAACAAAGTACAAACATCGGATGCACCGCGAAGCGGTCACGACCGGCTTTCTTTCCAAGGGCCCAACAGAGGATTCCTACGATCAGCATGCTCCGGCTCCCTGCTTCTGCACTACGCCCTTCAGGGTTAGGATAGGGTTCCTTTGAAGGGGTCTAGAAGGGCGACTATAAGGCGTCTATCAGGGGACCATAATATCGGGCCTTAGTTAGTATACCTCTACTATTTTGGGTTTTCCTTCTTATAGTTATAGTAAAGTAAACCCCTCAAACCCTATTCTCATTATTAAGGCCCCTACAGTACGCCCTTCAGGGTCTGCTTAGCCGGGGTTAAGGAGCTTGAAGGAGTTTCAGGTGGGAAGATTGAACGGTCTTCAGGGCTGAGAGGTTCAGGGATTCGGTTTTGATGGTGGAGGGCTGCATGGTTAGGAGCTCTTGAACCCTAAACCCTAAAATCCAAACCCTAAACCCCAAACCCGCGGTCTTCGAGTTCTTATTACAGCAATCCGTAGGATTATTGGTCCATCTGCATCAATTCCTCGCGCGGGTTTACTATAGTGGCCGAAAGGCTTGCCCAGGCTGTTCTGGGGTTCCTTAGCCACATATGTGTATATGTCCTTAAGGGTCCATGTACTCATCTAGTATATACATTGGCCTTAATGTATGGGGCTCAGGTATCTCTGTATGGGAACATGGACCCTTAGGGTATATATATATATATATATATATATATATATATATATGGTCACCCCCCCTCCCAAGATCTACATCCGCCTCTTCCACACAATTCCACAGGTTGCTTCTTTACATTGGTCGACTACTCATATATGCCGAAAACACCGTAAATTCCGATACAATCGTGCTTTACTCCATGTGCATGCAAACAGTGCTGCTACAAGTCGCGGGTTTGATATGTGTAAAAGTCTGGCGCCGAATCTCGGCAGCAGATTTACGGTAGTTTTATAACCTTGATTACTTGTAATCTCTGGGAGCAGGTTCCGGAATTAATTCTGTCAAATATCTGTCTTTAGTTTGTCATCCACATGTGTCAGAAATCTGTCACCTGCCGGCTGGTAGGGTTTCGCATCTGTGAATAATCTGTGAATAATTTGTGAATAATATGTGAAAAATCTGTAAATAATCTGTCAACAGTCTCTGGCAGATTTACGAAAAATCTGTCAAAAATCTGTCCCAAATCGCGGCCAGCATCACACGGGGTGGGGCGGGGGGCAGGGTGGGGGGGGCGGGTGGGGGGCGGGGGCGGGGCGGGGCAGGGGCAGGGCGCACGGTGTTGGCGGGCGGCGGGGCGGGCGGGCGGGGTCAGGGGGGGCGGGGCGGGGGGCCGGGAGGGACAGATTTTTGACAGATTTTTGACAGATTTTTGACAGATTTTTGGACAGATTTTTGACAGATTTTTTACAGATTTTTGACAGATTCCACGGGCAGGCGCCCACGCCCGGGGCCCTTGGGCTGGGGCTAGGGTGTCAGGGCCTGGGGCCTTGGACCTGAGTCGCCTGGCTAGGGCCTGGGTCCGCGGCCCCCCCACGCGCGGAGCAACACCTTCTCAAATCTGTCAAAAATCTGTCAAAAATCTGTCCCCGCCCTGCGCTCTGCCTGTCAAAAATCTGTCAAAAATTTGTCCCCCCCCACCCCGCCCGCCCCCGCCCCCCCCGCCCCCCCCACCCCACCCCGCCCCCCCCGCACCGCCCCGCCCCGCCACCGATCCGCCCCGCCCACCCCGCCCCCACCCCGCCCCGTCCCACGGAGTCTAAGTTTGATTAAGTGACGAGACCCTGCAGGCACCCCTGAAAACACGGACAAATAAATCACAAATAAATCACAAAAAAAACACAGATTGGAATCCAGCCCCAACCAGATGAATCACAGATAAATCACAAAAAAATCACAAACTAGAAGACAATTGGCCCGAAAGCATCATCAGCGAAGAGTGTGGGGCTATGTGATAGATCCAGTGTATAGGATCGTAAAGTCACAGAATCAAGAGTCATAGAGTCCATGAGTCATGAGTCATAAAGTCATAGAGTTGCAGTGACATAGCGTCATAGAGTCGTAGTGAGATAGAGTCAGTGTATAGGATCGTAAAGTCACAGAATCAAGAGTCATAGAGCCATGGGTCATGAGTCATAAAGTCATAGAGTTGTAGTGAGATAGAGTCACGGAGTCGTGGAGTCATCTTTGTACCATACACTTGACTCGATGTAGTTCACTCTATGCCCTGTGTGTGGGAACGCTTAATCAAGATCCGCCTAGCGTGAGGGCTCAGAGCCTGACTCAACAGGTCAAGTGGCAACTTGTCAGAGGGATTGGCAAATGCATAATATATGGATACTATACATATAAATATATATATATATATATATATATATATATTATATATGGAAATGTGCCTGGCCAAGAACTGGCCACTCGTCCTTGGCATTCCTGCCTCTCAAGTTATGAAGGGTGGAACGCCTCACATCGTCCTCATTGTACCAGCGGAAACACCAGCTGCGGAAAATGGCGTTATTGCAAGAAGCTTCACTGACTTCACAATAATAGAGCTGCGAATGAGGACAGAGTCACAGGTGACTGACTGGTCTCTGATCAGCCATGGCACATCTTAAAATCTTCCTGAAGACTTGGCTTTTTTTACACACACGCACATTCTTCTCGTGTTTGGGTCGTTGCTTGCTTGCTCTTTCGCAAGACAGCGTCGAAGCAAGCAAGCAACGTCCCAAAGACCGGCATCGGAGAGGCGGCCTGAGGAGGTGCCGGGAGAGGTCATCCCAGGGATTACGGTGGTCCGGAGCCTCGTGAAAATGGCTGATTGTAGTTGCAAAGGTTCGTCGGGAGCCCCGAGCCTCCATAGCACGCATTATACCAAGCCAGGGTATAGGGGTATAGTATCATGGAAGAAGAAACATAGCGGCAGCTGACAAACATCCCCAAACGGAAGCCGCAACACTGGTCTCTGAAAGGAGTCGGGAATTAGGGTTTCGCTCTTCATCTCAAACCACAACAGGCCAGCGTATGTTACGTAGCCGATTCAACAGACTCCAGGGGAACGCCAGGGGCTTATGGGTCCTTAGGCCTAGTAGTAGGACTAATGCAGGGATCATGGTGGTCCAGAGCCTCCTCCAGAAAGATTGATTCTAGCTGCAGACATTCATCGAGAGCCCCAGGCTTCGGTGACACCCTGTGTATCAACCCAAGGTATACTATCTCAGAAGAAGAAACCCGGCGGCATCTGGCAAACATTCCCAAGCGGCAGTCACAACACGGGTCTCTCAAAGGATGATTGGGGATTTAAGATCTATCCTATACCACAAACGGGTCCACCTCGCTGAGCTGCTGCGCGATCCGTGGCGCCGGGATTCCAGCAGCGAAAGGCAGTGCAGTCATTAGGGATTTGGAAAGACACCGTTCCGAAGTGAAACACCTTACTTCACCAGGAAACCCGCCAGATGCCGCAAAGTATTTAACGTGCCACGCAATCGAGGAGCTCCTGCGTCTCGATGAGCCTTTGTCTGCTCACAGGACGTCGCGGCCAGGAGGAGAACACCGAGGCATTGGGAATCACTACGCTTCCGCCGCACCAATGTACCAATGCGAGCACTTGAAGTTGCCGTTGACGGTTCGCCCATCATAGTTCTCGCTCGGCAGCCTTCGATTGTCAATCGGCCTGAGACGCCCACGGTACCTCACAACTTCATGGTGCACTCCTGCTCCGTTGACGGATCCATGTGCTTCATAAATGCACGCTTCGTGCAATGCGTTGTCTCTTTAGCACACACACACACACACACACACATACACACATACAACTGGTTCGTGGGAGTTCGCAAGATCAAGTGAGACCACAGAAGCCTTCGATTTGACTTCGATCTATGCAGAACAACAGACCTTACACTGCATCACGAAGCATTTCGGAGTCGGGTTGGGGGTGGAGAGCCAGCGCGGGAGGAACCTGGACCTAGACCGGATTACTCTTCCCAGGCGACCCTCCCCGGCCTTCGTCGTCAGCATCGGAGAGGTGGCCTGGTGAGGTGCTGGGAGAGGTCATACACGAGTTACGGCGGTCCGGAGCCTTGTGAAAATGGCTGGTTGTAGTTGCAAAGGTTCATCGGGAGCCCCGAGCCTCCATAGCACGCACTGTACCAACCCAGGGTATAGTATCATGGAAGAAGAAACATAGCGGCAGCTGACAAACATCCCCAAACGGAAGTCGCAACACTGGTCTCTGAAAGGAGTCGGGAATTAGGGTTTCGCTCTTCATCTCAAACCACAACAGGCCAGCGTATGTTACTTAGCCGATTCAACAGACTCCAGGGGAACGCCAGGGGCTCATGGGTCCTTAGGCCTAGTAGTAGGACTAATGCAGGGATCATGGTGGTCCAGAGCCTCCTCCAGAAAGATTGATTCTAGCTGCAGACATTCATCGAGAGCCCCAGGCTTCGGTGACACCCTGTGTATCAACCCAAGGTATACTATCTCAGAAGAAGAAACCCGGCGGCATCTGGCAAACATTCCCAAGCGGCAGTCACAACACGGGTCTCTCAAAGGATGATTGGGGATTTAAGATCTATCCTATACCACAAACGGGTCCACCTCGCTGAGCTGCTGCGCGATCCGTGGCGCCGGGATTCCAGCAGCGAAAGGCAGTGCAGTCATTAGGGATTTGGTAAAAACACCGTTCCGAAGTGAAACACCCTACTTCACTAGGAAACCCGCCAGATGCCGCAAAGTATTTAACGCGCCAAGCAATCGAGGAGCTCCCGCGTCTCGACGGTGGCCAATCCCTGTGGAGACTTGCAGACGGTGCCACCCCTTGTGCTAGCGGCGCTCCACAGGAACCATCATCCGCGCCATCGCGGCTGTCATCATGCTGATACCACCAGAGCAGGTCCAAGCCTCCAAGCGGCCACATTCTGTGGCGAGGCAGCCAAGATGACTGCAGGGCAGAACGTCAAGAGCCAGCTTCTCGTTTGGCCAGCACGACGGACTCGCGGGTTGGACAAGCCGCGCATTTGGAGTAGTGCTGCCTAGGCGAACACAACGGACTCGCAGGTTGCTTGCACAGGCCGCAGGCACCGTCCCGC